AACCTGATTGGTCCGATGAGCTTCGTGATGACGTCATATTCGGGCGCTTCTTCTCTGCTTCCGGTAGCTGGACGTCTACGTGAAAGTCAACAACGCAGGGCGCGCAATCGGGAAGGGTTCAACCAATAGGAAATAGGCCTGGTTCGAGGGGGCGGGCCTTAATCCGGAGACGTCATTATAACGCGACTCCTGCGAGTACCTGGAGCGCCAGGAAAATGGTGGTGATGGCGCGCCTCTCGAGGCCCGAGCGGCCGGACCTTGTCTTCGTGAGTCTGCGGCGGGCCCGGGGGTGGCCTGCCTGGGGGCACTGGGGCTTAGATGCCTCAGGAGATTCGGGCCTGGCAGCCCGGGGGATCTAGGCCAAAGTTATGCCGGTCTGAGGGCAGGAGGACCCTTACGGGCCAGAGACCGGATCATGATGTACGGACCAGGCTGGTCAGGAGCAAAGGTCTGGTGCTAGAGCCCAGGTGACCTGAGCAAAGAGCAGGTGGTTGAAGTTAAGGGCCTGGCGTCCCGGGCCTGGGGCGGAAATGGGAGTGGGCGAGAAGGGAGACTCGCGTAGCTCAATCTTGAGAGGCCTGGTGTTTTGAAGTAAAGGCATGACGACCAGTCCAGGTCTCTGGTTTCAGTGGTAAAATCTTAGTGTCTTGGGTAACGGTCTAGGTTTGATCCTGAGCGTTATAGTTTCTGGGATAAGGGCATGGTGTCTGGACCGGGAGAACCGTGGAATCAGAAGTAAAGGCCGGGTGATGTGGAGCTAATCAGGCGATGGCCCGTGGACTCCTGAAGAGTCAAAGGCTTGGTGTTTGAAGTAGAAGCCTGGCATCTTCACTAGATTCTTGGTGTCTCGGGTTAAAGGCTAGGCATCTTGTACATACGTTTCTTTCTGAGATAAGGGTCTAGCTTCCAAGTTCTGGGGCAGAGTTGAGCTAGACTTTGGCTAGTGGGGGCCTGAGGTGCCAAACGTCTCGTGTCTGGGAAGAGCCATGTTGTGAGGAGGTGACACTTGACGTCTAGGGCAGAGGCCTGGCGTCGGACCAGGGTCTTGGTGGCAAAAGAGTCTGGTGATCTGGGCCAGAGAGTGGATAGCTTGATTATGAAGGCCAAAAGAGTGATGTGTGGGTGACAGTCTCATATTTGGCGTAGAACGCTGTGACCAAGGAGTCTGATGGTCTGGGTCAGATTGTAGGCAGTAGTATTCTGAAGGGTCTGGACCAGATTCCTGGTATCTGGGTGTCTGGTGACCGGGCTCCCGATGGTGGGGAGTGTGGGATCTGGGACCTGGGGAGGGGTCTGGAGTTTGGAGTGGAGTGGTGCTGCGCGCAGGCTCTGAGAACAGGTCTGTCTTCTCCCTGTACCCCGGCCCTGGCAGGAGGAGGAGGACCTCCCCTATGAGGAGGAAATCATGCGGAACCAATTCTCCGTCAAATGCTGGCTCCGCTACATTGAGTTTAAGCAGGGTGCCCCGAAGCCCAGACTCAATCAGCTGTATGAACGGGCGCTGAAGCTGCTGCCCTGCAGGTGAGATCGGCTGCAGCTGCCCTGCCTGCCCCAGCCCCACACCCACCCCACCTTATCCAGTCTCCCCAGGACTTGCTAGTAGGTCCCACGTGACTGCTATGTGTTGTGTCGCCGAATATACATCCCCTGATCAGTGAGCACACCTTCCCTGATGTCCTGGCTGTTCCCCCGCCACAGAGACTTGTCACCCCTCCCTGGGCCCCTTCTCCCAGCACTTGTCTCTTGGGGCAGAGTGAAGGGTCCCGAGGTCCATAAAGCTGACCAATCACTGTCTGCCCCTCCCCTCTCCCCCCACCTCCCCAGCTACAAACTCTGGTACCGCTACCTGAAGGCACGCCGGGCACAGGTGAAGCATCGCTGTGTGACCGACCCTGCCTACGAAGATGTCAACAACTGCCACGAGAGGGCCTTTGTGTTCATGCACAAGGTGGGGAGGGGGCCTGGCTGGGCCAGGGGATGAGTGGGGAGGTGGGGCTCAGAGTCCACGGAGGTGGACAGAGCAGGGGGTTGGAGTCCTGTGGCCTCTGTGCACTCAGGGTTGAGCGAGACTTGGTTCCGGGGGACGGGAGTTCCGGGTCCTGCTGCAGTGGACATCTGGTGTCTTTATGGCCTGGTGGTGGTGCTGGCAGCTCAGACCCTGCCTCTCCCCACACCTCCAGATGCCCCGGCTGTGGCTAGATTACTGCCAGTTCCTGATGGACCAGGGACGCGTCACACACACGCGCCGCACTTTCGACCGTGCCCTCCGAGCGTTGCCCATCACACAGCACTCTCGTATTTGGCCCTTGTACCTGCGCTTCCTGCGCTCACACCCCCTGCCTGAGACCGCCGTGCGGGGCTACCGGCGCTTCCTCAAGGTAAGCCCCTCAGAGGGCGAGATGGGGCCAGGCTCAGGCAGGTGGGCCAGTTCCCCCAGGTCAAGACTTTCCGGAAACCGGCTCGTTGGGACAGTGTCTGCCCTAACAGACAGAATATGGGAACAGGGCTTCTTAAGACAGGGTTTTGTTTGTGAGTTCTGTGTTTAATCTCCAGACAGTTTGCCAGTAACCATGTCAGGTATTAAGACAGGTGCTGGGGACAGTGTGGCTAAGATAGTTGCTGCTTCCATGGAGCTTTCAGTCTAACTTTGCAGACAGATACATATTACCTGACTGCATAAATCAGAGCAAAACTGCAACCATGGGAGGGCAGGGAATAGGAGATAAACGACTAGAGAAACAACAGTCAGGGTTGAGAGTCGAGGTGGAAATAGTGGGGAGGCATTGTGCAGTTTTCCTGAACTTATAATGTCTCTTATGTGTCATGAAATGTTTAGCATAGTGCTGTTTAGGGGCTTGTGATGAAAGCAGGTCTTGGCCTGTGCAGGCTGGACCACTGATGTCTAAGCTCAGTCAGGACTGAGACTGGACCAGTGAGGCCCAGGCTAGACCAGTCAGGACTGAGACTGGACCACTGGGGCCCAGGCTAGACCAGTCAGGACTGAGACTGGACCACTGGGGCTCAGGCTGGACCAGTCAGGGCTGGGGGTGGACCAGTGAGGCCCAGGCTGGAACAGTGAGGCTCAGGCTGGAACAGTCAGGGCCCAGGCTGGACTAGTGAGAGCTGAGGCTGGACCAGTCAGGGCCCAGAGTGGACCAGTCAGGGCTGGAGCTGGACCAGTGAGGCCCAGGCTGGACAGGTGTGGCTATGACTGGGTGTGCAGGGCGAGCTCTTGTCCGGGACAGTGGTGGGTGGCTGACAGAAAGCCCAGAGTGGGAGGAGGCACGGTGGCATGGCCCTGTGGCCCCACTGACAGCTGGCGGGTGGGTGGGTGCCCAGCTGAGCCCCGAGAGTGCCGAGGAGTACATCGAGTACCTCAAGTCGAGCGACCGGCTGGACGAGGCCGCACAGCGCCTGGCCACCGTGGTGAATGACGAGCGCTTCGTGTCCAAGGCCGGCAAATCCAACTACCAGGTGGGCCCCGGGGTGGTGGCTGGGTGGGAGGGCTCGCCCCCTCAGGGACAAGGCTGACGCTCCTTCCCGTGCCTTGTAGCTGTGGCACGAGCTCTGCGACCTCATCTCCCAGAACCCAGACAAGGTGCAGTCTCTCAGTGTGGACGCCATCATCCGTGGGGGCCTCACCCGCTTCACCGACCAACTGGGCAAGCTCTGGTGCTCGCTGGCCGACTACTACATCCGCAGCGGTCACTTCGAGAAGGTGCTTGAGCACGCGGGGCTCCGAGAGCGGGGCAGGGTCTCCCTCCAGCACATAGTATTGGGGGATGCCTGAGAACACGCGTGTGAGCAGAAGACGTGCACATGGACCGCTTGGGCACACGTGTGCGTGTGTGCGCCGTGCACATTTGCCTTCCTGAAGGTGGGGAGGGGCAGGCATCACGGCCCTGCCGGCGAGTGCACCCGCCTCAGGCCAGCCAGACCTGGATCTCTCTGCTCTGGCCTTGGACCTGCTTCAGCTTGGGTGTCCTCATTTGCAAAATGAGAGTGACAGTCACTTCCTTGCCTACTGGGACTCAGGCACCGAGCGGTGTCCGGTGTGAGGGCCCCTCCCGAGGTGTTGGTGTTTCTGTCGGTGTCCACGTCGGCTCTTCTCCTCGTCGGGCCATGGAGCGGCGAGCTTGGGGCCGGGTGGGGGGCGGGGTGTGGAGCTCTGAGAGGTCCCCAGAGGGGCTGGCTTGGGACTGGCTGGGGAGGGGGGCACCGGCTGGAGCAGAGTGGGAGGGAGGAGCTGGAGGGGGCTCAGAGGGGGTGGTGAAGGACTAGGGAAGGGGGGCCCTGCAGGCCGAGGAGGGACCGGCTGTGTCCTGCTGCGGGGAGCCGCCAGCCAGCCAGCCGTGAGCAGGACATAGGCCTGACCAGGTGTGTGTCTTACAAAGACCCTTCAGGCTGACACTTTGAGCGGAGCGCACAGGCCGAGGCCAGCAGCGGGAGACCGGCCAGGAGGCTGCTGGGGCCGGCGGCCAGGCAGAGGCAGAGGGGCAGGATTAGCCAGGGACAGGGGTAGAGTGACAGGCCCGCCCTTGGTGGGGATGCGCCTTGCCCACGCCAGCACTTTCCTTTCATGCTGCCCTCAGGGGTCGGTTGGGGGGGTGGGTGACGGGGAGAATGTGAGCTG